CCTGATATTCTCCTATCCTTTTTGAACTGCTTCTACTATTTTTTCACTTATTTCTTCGTTTGGTTTATTAATATATCTAATTACTGGATTAATATTTAAACAATATAATAATGTTGCTAAACTTTTCCCTATTTTTTCTATTTCTTTTTCTTTTTCTTCTTCTTTACTTTCTTTTGAATATAATGAATAAAATGCTTTTGCATTATTTAATGAAAATACTCTTTGTTCAATTGTTAAAAAATCTATTGGAATTACTCGAACGTCTTTAATTCTTGGTATACTTTTTAATTCATCAAATAATGTTTTATCAATAGCATTAATACATGCAACATATCCACTAGAATATTGTGGATGTGCTAAATCTTTAAATTCATTAACAATTCTATCAACTGATTCTTTTGTTGGTGATATTAAATATAATGCTGGACACATAAATGCTTCTCTTTTCTTTTCCAAATTATTAACATCTAATTTTAATTAATTTCTTTTTCTTTTTTTTTATTTTATTACAAACCAAGAATATCCGCATTTAATAAATCATCCATTCCACAAAATGATGAAATAACTTTTAATGCTTCTTTATCAACAACTAATATTTTCCAACTCTTTGGAAGTTCTTCCCATAATTTATTTAATAATTTTCTTTTACAAATATATGTTAAATCTGCCATTCTTTTGACTTTCTTTTCTAGTTTTTTTTTTATCTTTTCATCTTTTCACTTTTTATCTTTTTATCTTTTCATCTTTTCTTAAAATTAATCTTTTTTCTTTTCTTATTTTCTATTTTCTTTCTTATTCTTTTTTTCTCTTATTTAATTTATTATTTTGAACCCTATTTTTTTTTATTTTTTCTCTTCTTTATTCTTGTTTATTCCATGGATTATTACTTATTAACGATTATTACTTATTAACGATTATTACTTATTTTGATATGAGACTTTTATTTAGTATGATGGTGGTTTTATTATTAATTAGGACATCATATTTATCAACATTAGATTTGGCTGAGTACATAGTGTGTTATCAAGAAAAAGGGCTCTTTAATTGGTGTTGATGATAAAGAAGATAGGTCATAGTCTCATAGTGATTATGGACATATTCTTCTAATAATAACACACAAACAATGAAGAGTTTTAATACTCATTTATTTCAAGGTATGAATCAGGCACAACTTAAATGAGGAACCATTTAAGTTGAGCGTGTTTGAAAAAACTTTGTTTCATCTGAAATAAAGTATGTTGAAGAAACTGGTTTTGCTCACTTCTCAACATGATGAAAACCTAAATATAGGTAATTCATCATTGATTCCTTTTTTCTCTTCTTTATTCTTGTTTATTCTTCTTCTTTATTTCTTTATCCTCTTTTCTTTTATTATTTCTTATAAAAAGGTGCTTCAACATTACAGGAGACATCACAAAAATTATAAAATAATCAATAACAAAAGAAGGAGAAATCCATATCATCCATGAAATATAAATGATAGAAGAATGAGTGAAAACACCTATTATCTGTATGGACAGAAATACAATTATCATCACATTAATCATTACCTTAATATTAACTATCACCATATTAATTATCATATAATTATAATAATAATGAAATGATTCATTTCATTCATCACTTCATTCTTTTTCATCATCATAAGTATTTTATCATTATTTCAAATAGAATCAATCAATATTATAATACAAATAATTCACATAATAAAACACAACACAGTATAAACAATATCATAATAAAAGATATCAACAAATAAGAAATAAAAGAAATGATAGAAATAATAAAATCAAATATTTGAAAAGACTATTTGAAGAATAAATTAAAATACTTACACCACAAGAAGTAGAATAAATTAACAACACCAAGATTAAAGAATATAATCAACATTAATGAGAAGATGGTATTTATTTTCAAGAGAAAAAATAAAAATGAATAGAAATGAGTGATTATCAATATGACACTTGAAGATGATAAACAACTAAATCAAAATGAAATAAATGATAAATACTTAATTAAGAAATATACAATATCGAAAATGATGATGAAATTACTGAAGATGAGAAGGGACATATGAAAAAGAAAATATGAAATTAAAAGAAGAAGAAAAGAACAATGAAAATAATAAAAGAATAGAAGAATTAAAGAAAAGAAGGTACTATTAAAGAGAAAGAAGAAATGAAGAAATACAAAAGAAGGACCAGAAAATTAATAAATTATCAAATGATATTATATCATTAAAGAAGAATCATGAGAATGAGATAAACACTCAAAAACAAGAGAATGATAGATTATTATTTGAATTAAATGCTGAATCAGAAATGAAAATGTCTGAATTAAACAATTTATCACAACAAATATACTTCTTGAAAGATAAATTATTTAAATTATAAAATGAAATTACACAAGAAGAAAAGAAGAGATAAATCACATTATATCTGACTCATCTGAAACACAAATTGTGAATGACCTCATCCCCAATGTTGTAGTAATGATGAAATATCATCAATTAAAGATGATCTTCAAAAAAAGAAAGTTAACGCAGAATTCAAATGAAGAGATGGGAAATCAGAATAAGAAGATCACCACATCTGATCATGACATTCAAAAATTAATTGAATCAAACAAATAAAGAAGAATAAATTCAAACATTCTATAAATGTTTTACATTAAAATTATTACAAATAAAATTAAGAAATCAACTTAAAGAAGAAGAAATAAAAAGATTAATACATGAAATTGATATTAAAATAGAATATATTAATGAATATAAAGAAATAATAAAGAAAACATTTAAAATAAAGAATGAAATTAAAAGGGAAGTCAATAGAAGAAATGAAGAAGAAATAATAACACACCAATTGAAAGATATTGAATTAAAAGAATTAATAAAATAAATAAGAAAGAAGAAATACAAGAAGATGAGGTAATAAGAATATTTAAAGAAGAATAAATGAAATAACAAGAATATATACAATTTATTATTTATTATTACAATAAAACAAAATACATCAAATATTTAATATCATTAATACAAATAAAATATTAATCATTAGATTAGTTGATTACTACCATTATATTAAAACTATAACATCAACTATTAACATAATTATTAATAAAATTCATGAAAGAAGTGGAATGAGAAGTATAGAAAGAATATTATATTCAAAAATATGTAGATTAAGAGACTTGCTCTATAATAATCAATATATGAAATTAAAAATAATATTAAATATTAAAATATAATATATATAATATTAAAATAAAAATAAATGATCAAATAAATTATTATAAATATATCAAAAGAATGAAAAGAATAGAAATAGATGTAAGAATAAAAAGAAAAGAATAAGAATGAATTATAAAATGTTAAAATATTGAAAGAGATAACTTCGGCAACGAAAAAAAGCAAATAAGAGAAAAATGAAGAGAAAGAATGATATAAAAGAAAAAAGTGAAATTAGGAAGTAGAAGATGATGAAAAGAATAAAAGTAGAATGTTGAGATTATAAAATGAAAGAAGATAAAAATGAATAATTCAAAAAGAGATAATAAATGATGAAAAGAATGATGAAATAATGGATGTATTTTTTATTATAGAAATTAGAAATATGCAATAAAAAAGCGTTTAATTTATTGATGCAAATTATTTAACATTATTTTATTGATATAATTTATTTTATTCATTTTTATTTTTATAATTTTTATTTATATATATTATTTATTATCTTTCTTTTTAATATATTGATTATTTTATTTTATTATTTATTATTCTCTATTCTTTTATTTGTTCATTTTTATTATATTTATGAAATATTTCAATATTATAAAATAATTTTATTGTTTAATTATTTAAATGATTTAAATTAAAATGAATTTATTTTATATTTTATTGTTTTCTTTTATCTTTATTTTATATTTTAATAATTTCTTTAATATCATCATTTTATATTATTATTATCTTTATTCTTTCATATTTTTATTATTTATTATTATTATTATATTTTTCATTTCTTATTTTATTTTAATTTATTATTATGTTTATTTATATTTCTTTTCTTTCTTATTATTCTTCTTTATTCTTATTATTTATTTATTTTCATTTGATTCTTATTTTCATTTCTTGTTTTGATTATTTTGATTTGATTTAATTTTAATTATTATTATTATTATATTTTTGATTATTAATATTTATTTATCATTTATTTATTATTTGTTTTTATTATTATCATTTGATTTATATTTATTATTTATTTCTTTTATTATCTTTCTTTTCTTTATTCTTTATTATTTATATTCATATTTCTTATTATTTATTTTTGATTTTAAATGATTGTTTCAATATTCATCATTTTATTTATATCTATTATCTTAATCTTATATCATTAATTTCTATTATTAAATATTAAATAATCAATGTGATATAACAAAATAATTTAATTAATATATCATTATAAAATAAAATAATTAACAAATGATTTCATAATGAATATTAAATTCATGAAATATTGAATAATATAATACAAAATGATAAATAAAAATAAAAATGATAATAATAAATAAATAATAATACAAAATATAATAATAAATATAAAAATGATATAATACAAATATAATAATCAAATTAATAT